GGCATGGGCAGAGACTGAGCTCTACTTGCTCTTAAGGAAGGCTTTACAGGCATCGAAACTGATGCATGTCTCGATGACGATGTACTACTTCCTTAAAAACGACGTATAAATAATTTTATGAACTTTAGTAAGCAAAGTAGGAGAACCCTCTAATCCATTCAGAAAAAAATTATAGATAGATCAAGCAATTCAAATACAAACCCAAATCTTCGTCAACAAGACTCTTAAAATCAAGCAAGTAACTCTTGGAATCAACCTGATATAACTGTAGGCTCATTTTTGGCTGAAAATAAATTAAAAAATAGACAATTCTAACAAAATTTTTTTTGGAAGAATATTAAGCATTGAAAATCTACCAGTATTAAAACAGTACTTGAAAAAAAAAATTAGAGCTCACCGGATCATTATTCGAGTTTCCTGGTCTTCTGCGAACAATTACGTGATAAGGATTTAGAACCTTCCACTCAAAATCTAATGTTTTCATGGCACGAAAAACTTCGTACATTATATCCTCTAGAAGCAGCCAATATTTAAACAGTAACAAAACGAAATTAAACAAAAAAAACTTACGTTAAGTAATCAACAAATTACTCAGAAATTCTGAAATTTTGAAGATTCTGTCACTCAAAAAACCTCGTTCATTAACAGAGCCAATAAGATTAAAATGTGAACCAGGACGACTCTGACTGCGAATTCCCAAATGCCATTTTGCGCGTTTCACATGTGGCGATTTCTGGCCCAACGGCGTTGTGGTAACATTTGGCTGACCAGCAAGCGCAGAAGTGTTTTGCTGTGAACCACCAGCATTAGTCCCGACAGTCTCCAAATTTGGTGTGATCTTGTTAGTTGCTTAAAAACTGACATTGAGGAATAAAGAAATTTTAAAGTCATCACTTGAAGCTGGTGTCCAATGCAAAAGCCATTACATTAGGCACTCGCAGTAGATATTTACCTTAAGTGAAACGCTTATTTCTTTTTAAGAAAAATCCTTCTCTTCTTCTTCCCCTTCTTATGAGAAATCTAATAAGTTTCTCTTCAAAATCAAAACAACTGTCAAAACCATACCTGTGATTCTCTCAGGATGTCTGTGCGTGAAGTCACCACCTCCCTGCGGTTTTCCAGCGGGGGAAACTTGATAAAACTCTTCAATAGAAAGCTTCGCAGCTGAAACAGCAACGTTATACAACAAAAAATTAAAGTTTAACGGTATAGCAAGATCAAGAAAAAGGTAGACTGGTATGACAACCCCTTACCTTAACAAATAGCCTCCAAAAAGACTAATCAAAGTACATAATTTAAGAATATATAAAACTCAAAGTAACCAATCCATGCACTCAATTCATTTGCAAAAAAAACAGCTTTTTCAAAAAAGATCTAAAAACTTTTCAAAAATGCCAATTTGTCACCATAGAAGATAAATGATCTTTAAAAAGCTCATTGGATACCCAGTGACCAACTTGCGAGAAATACCCCCCAAACTTCGTGAAAAAGCTTTGAAAAATGAAATTCGTAAATAATTGAAGAAATGAGTCCAAATCCGCGTAAATAAAGAGATAAAAAAAGCTATGCACGAAAAGAACAAACAGAAACACCACCGAAAGCTGTTTTAAAGCTACAGACGTCAAAACAAAAGAGATAATAGACACAAAAAAACCAGAATACCCAATAAAAATAAAATTTTTTAGCAATATTAAAAGAAGTAAGCAGCACAAAGGAAATTCAAAGCTTAAATATCAGAGACGAAAAGAAAATATGAGGCAAAAACCTGAATCAAGCAATCTAAAAATTTCTAAAAAAAGTTTGGAACAGCAATTTTCGGATGAAATGTAGGCGCAGCGTTACCTGCATAACAAAAAAAAATCATACTTCCAAGCGGCATTGTTGCCTTTTCAAGTAGTTATGTTAAAAACTGCATTATTGAAGAAAACAATGACTCTACAGTGGTACCGATAACACTGAGCTGTTCGTTCGTCAATACTGAAAAGCGGCTGAGACTTAAATTACTCCAGAAAGTTGGAACCTTACACTGAAAAGCTCCAGTTTAAACTAGATTTAAAACTTACAAAAAAATTTAAATCAAAAAGTTTAATGAAAAAGACTAACAAAGCACCACCAAATAATTGCCAGGCTTTCTGATTTTTAAAAAAATCATAAATTCATTTGGAGCTTGAAATATTAAAAATGTTCCAACTATCAAAGAAATGTAGTGAGTTAATGAATTGCAGATTAAAGATAACAATGTTTTATTAAGCGTGTTGAAATGCATAAACTCATTATGTAAATTGCAGGTCGCAGTAACGTATTAATACTTTTCTTGAAGTTCTTACCCATTTCTGTCAAGAGAACACTTAAAAACCTCTAATAATTAACAATTTAGATCGGGACAATCAGTATCGAGTTATTCATTTAATTTACTAACAAATTAAAAGGTATTTAATAAAATAAAAGTATCAATTCACTTACACAAATAAACCATCTACACAATTTTTCAGACTACTGGAAACAAAAGTTCCATTTATAAGTTAAATAAAATAAGTACTTAAGCCCTTCTTTGGCGATTTGAATTAGTACCACTAATTAATCTGATGTAAAGTAATAGTAGAAGTGAAAAAAATCATAATTGATTATTTCTGGGAATAAGTAATTTGTGAGAGGAAAACATATGCCCCACAGTTAGGAACGTGAGTAGGTAAATTTATAAATGACTTTTATATAACCTTTATGTACCCCTATCAACAGAAAATTGTTTTCTTAATGGCACCAACAGTATACACTAAATGTAACCGAGGGATGAAGTAAACCAACATATTGTAATTAGGCGGTTAAGCAGTTCAGAAAAAATAACAGAAATGTAGAGGAACAGTTACGGTTAATAGAAGAAATAAGGAAAAATAAGCAGAAGACCTACAGTTTGCTTTGATCTGAGGGTTGAAATTCTTCTCCTTCACAGGTGTGCCAAAGATGCAACCAGGTTTGCCATACTCTGGGCAAAGATCGCAATAGGCAAGACTAGTTTGTCGACGACTAAAAATGCACTCTTTTGCCCCCCAACTAGGGCATTTATCACAATCCGGATGACAATATGATCCAGCTGGTATAGTTACACGGTGCGGACAAGCCCTTTGAAGAGATGAAGGTCTTAAACGCACAGCTACTGTGTCCAATGGCAGTGCAGCAACCATCGAACCACCTGAACCACTACTGCCATCCAAAATTTTGCAGTGGCGGTCCACATTGAAAACAGATGTCTCTTCAGAAACCTGTCCAATGTTATGTAGTTCATCGGATGACAGTGAAGTATTTGAAACTGCCGAAACCGATAACTGATAATCAGCAGCCACTCCAACTAGATGAAAATAATTCTAGCACTTCAAGACATCCTTGTAACTAACTTAGAAAAAAATATGTAAATTCAGTCTGAAAATCAAAAAAAATCGAAAAATTTCAAAAAAACTTTGATTGTAAAAAATAAAAAAAAATAATCGACCGTAGACAAGAAGTCAAAAAAAATATAAGCAAATTCTAAACCCTAAGAGATCCCAACAAACGGTTTTTTCAACAACAATAAAAAAAAAATCTGGTAATTAATAATTCTTAGATAAGTCTAACATCGTTGTATATTTTAACAGCCATTTCAACTCCAACCTTAATCAGAAGATTCAAGCGAGTGAGCAATTCTGCAGCTGTTAACCTTCAAACAAAAAAAAAGTGAAAAACATGAAACGCTCCCGGCATTGCATTTAATCTACCACATGAAAAGAAACGAAATTTGATTAGATATCTGATTGGTGAGCTTCATAACGGTGCGGATGTTACCAGATCTCAAAAGCCTTAATTGATTGTTAGAAAAAAACGATAGATATGTGGTGCACTGTAAGAAAAAGATGAATATTAAATAATGCGGGTAAGTACTGTACTTTACAAATGACACCTTCCCATGCAAAAAATTAATTTTTCTGAAAATCAAGGAAATCATAGGCACTCAAAATAAAACCGGTGTATGTGGCGCACCATTTATTAATGAAATCAGAGTGGTTTAAATGACGAAAAAAAGCGCTAGTAAAAATTAAATAATTGTTCTATGACTACATTAAATCAAGGTAGTTAGTAAAAAAGGTTGAAGGCCTATTTGCGTTTGCTTTTCAAACTCCTCTTTTCCAACCTACATTTTCAAAAAAAAAAAAAAAAATCTAACTGTAGTTTTTCTAAAGCCGTACAATACTTCCAACCGAATTCGACCTTCCAAAGTTAGAAGAAAATTATAAAACTAGTAAACATTTTAGGCAACGAAACGTAAAAATAGATAAGATAGATAAGGCGAGAAATAATAAGGACAATGTGCTTTCCATAAATAGTGCTAGAAAACTCAAACAGAAATTAGTCTTTAAAATAAATTTGCAGAGCAAGTTCCTGCTGAACGCTATTAAAAAATAAATCAATTGCCGTAATCTTTCCTCAGATCAACCTCGACAGCAAAATCCAGCTAGAAAAACAATAGAGAATGAAAAAGAGACGTAACCATAATACGAACGTGGTTCCAGCCGAAGGGAACATGCAAATGCTGTGAGCAGCAACAGTAACTGCAGAAAAATAAATAACCAAATAGCACTGGGTGTCAAAAAAACAGACAAATTAAAAGAAAACACCACTTGAGACGTATACAAAAATATTTAAAAGTAACATAATAAAGAGACTCAAAGAACTTGAATAATCTTTAAAATATTCGAACACAAAGTTTCAAACCAGCCTCAATGCAAACTACTACCTCAAATGCAATAATATTACCCAAACAAGTCTGAAACCGAAAAGTTAAGTGAAAGAAATAAAAATAACATCAATAACAATTCAAACACTTTAGTGGCACCTTATACGTTTCGCTCAATAGAAAAAGGCCGCTTATAAAAATAAATCATTTCTAATGACTTACTTTCATCCGCAATTCGCTTGTTGTCAACAATAAGATTATACGCGATACTCAAATGGTGATGGGGATCATCACCTAATAAAGCGTGCGTCACGTCTTCTTCCATTACTCCATATCTCTGCAAAAACAAACCTAATTTTAAATCAAATCAAGTGGTAAAAAACAACTAGTTTGTTAATAAGTGAAAAGCATCAAAGACGACTTTTCAAACGAAAACCTGAATAATGAGCGTAATTACAAACAGAGGGTCTTCTGAATGAATTAGACTCCCAAAAGCATCCCAAGATGAATACAAATAGTGTAAGACGGTAAAATATGACGTAGTCCCATTTAAAGATACCAGTTAAATTGAGAAAAAAAGGCTGGCATTTTCAACCGCGGCTACAAATGTTACACAAAAAAAAAAAAAAAAAAAAAAAAAAAA